CGAATAGCGACTGTTGTTGAGAACGTTATACTTCACTGAGTCGCGAAATTCTGACGGCAAAAATCGCCCTATGAAAGGTAAACACTTTATTCGACAGAAACACATCATTTGTATAGTCTTCATGAGCATATAAGGCCACTAGGTCAAAAGTTATTTTGATTGATCAACTTTTGGATAAATTGTCCAATAAGGTTTTTCCTGACCACACAGTGACATTAAAGCGAAATTAAAATATACCTTAGGGGTTGATTGCTTAAAATGTCGATTTCCATCTTGGCTACTTCCTATCACTTACTGTGCACATTTATTGGTAAAAATGTCAATATTTGTCAACCAGTAGTTCTTAGTAGGCTATGATCAAGAAAATAATCTAGGATAAAGTTGCGTAAGCAACATGAAAATATTTGGTGACGTTAATAATTAATTTAAAACCAAAAACTGAAAAATTCGTAACATATTGAGCAATCAGTTGGAAGGCCATGAGAAATCAGTAAATGAGCTAAAAAGTTTACATAATAACAAATTCAAAATTCAAAATAGGTAGTTAGGCTTAGGACTTGAAAATTTCAGGAAAATTAAAAAGCGAATAACGACGGTGAAAGCGAAAGTTGCTTTCGGATTTACAATTCTGCGTTCAACCTCTGTATTGCCAGAGCCTCAGCAATGCAAGGTAAACGTTTCCTGAAACTTTTCGGAAGACTACGTTGTTTTGTAGGGTACGGCGAACAAATCCTCTGGTAGCTAAATGTTATAATGTGGAGCTATTGATCAGTCTATGTTGAGCTTTACTGAGCCATGCCGGGATATATTGGCGTTGACATTGGTCAGTCTGTCTCGGAGTACATCCTATATATTTAGCTCCACAGGAGTAAGTTTATATATATATATATATATATATATATATATATATATATATATATATATATATATATATATATATAATTCTGTTCATTTCTCTTCACTTTCCACTACGCTGTTTAAGAGTATGACAACGTTTGTCTGTCTGTGTGAATGACAAAGTAAGTTAGATTCGCAATTGTAGGCTAGAAATTAACTGATGTAGAGATAAGAAACGTCTTTGAACTAATGTCAATAACATAGCCCCTATCACTCTTAAACTATCTTCATTTCTTCCTCGTCTGTTATTATTATCAATTGTACTAAAAAAACCCTTTTTATTCATTTCCTACTACTCTTTGCTTCATACTTACCGATGAAAATCATGCATTTCACTTTTTATAGGAACTTTACCTTGTAGAACTATCATGCTGTTATTACCATTTTTCTATCCAGATATTTCGTTGTCTAGTTAGTAGCATTGACCTTCAAATAAATAGTACAGCATGTTTGTTGAGTTGCATCGCACTGGCAATCGACTGAATCACAATCTAGTTGAGATATATGCTAAGCTGTCTTGTGGTTTATATGCCTTGTTTAACCTGTCAGCTAAACATGTCGGTGGCTATTTCACTTGTCTTACTTTCCATGTAAACACTAGAGTAAGAAGGTTTGAAAATTTTTAACTGACTCCAATTTCGGTCTACTTCGACTTCGTTCCCATCATTACTTGCTATTAAGGAAAGGATGAAAACAATTTTGAAGGAGTTAACATCATTTCTGAAATTACTGTTTAATTAACTCAGCGAAAAAGTTTTTCCCATTTCATTTTATTGTGTAGATTTTTCAACAGTTTGTTGTTAGCTTTCCAGCTATCAATTCAATTCTGAAGAGATTGATAGTGTCAGCTGTGTAGAGTACAATGCTACATAGGTAAATTTCAGTATTATTCTACTCTAATTTTACAGGAGTATCGTTTCAGTGGAAACTAACCTCCGTGCTTGCCTCTTTTTTTTAGCTGTCGATAGTGGATTACGCACTAAATAACACCTACATTATGTGAATCACCGCATATTTTTTATTTTGACGTGAGCAAAATCGGTGCAATATGTTACTAAGGTTACTTTCCACACGAATTATGCTTATTTAGACTTCGGTTGGTGGGTTTTGTGGAAGTGTTTTCATGGAAATTTGTACTTCAAAATCGAATTTTAGTTTCTATGCCGTTTGCAGAACAGCAATTTCAATGTGATTCCACAAGTTTTCAAACAAACATTAATCACTTGACACTATACCCCAGCACTTGAAATTACATTGTTTAGACTCCAATACTGCTAATTACTTAAGTAAAGTACTGTTGTGAACGTTAATGCCTAAAACTTTGGCAGACAGAATTCATTTCTTCGTGTTTGTTTAAAATGTAGTACGCCTTGATGATCTCTGCAAAGAAGGTCATCACCCAAGTTTGTTAAAGACTTTGATTTATTGTTGAGGACAGTTCATGGAATTTTACCCAATTGTCTTATTTTCTGTACTTGATTAAGTCCTTCTGTTCGAATGATAGACTTGTTTCATGTCATTACTTGCTGGTTATCTTTGTTTATCAGTTACTTTAAATGATGCAATAAAATGCTAAGTACTACTTAAAATACAATGGAAACTAACTGGTTTAGCAATAACAATTTGCCACTTTTCGTGTCAGCTCAAGCATACGTATTTTACTCCACTAGTAGCAGCTTACATTAGATGGAAAAAATCAACAGTGAGAAGCTTCTCCTTTGATGTAAATGCTGACAAATGAACCTGATATAATCTGAATAAGAAGAAACATGATTATAGAGTAGTGGAGATGGCTATTAAAAATCTTTTGTGTTTTCACTCAACGTTCGTCACTAGTGTTCATTTGTTAGTAGAAACAAGATTTGAAATGGGATCAGTTCATTAGGTATACTTTTGAAAACTGGTTTATTGGTTCTGTCATTTGGCTACTCGTGAATGTTAATCATATCCCAAGTCTGCATTGTTTCATCAGTGCAAATAGATGTTTGAGCACTACATTGAATAATTTGTCCCTCCTTTTTCATTGATCAGATCCACTTACCATCATTTAATGATTACTGTGTAATGCCTCCCTGTTTTTGATCAAATACGTTCTGATAAAGTATGACCGATTATCCAGCTCTCAGTACTCCCGTCATAGGTAGGTTCTATTTTTTGTACCATCGATTCACGCCCTATTCTGGTTGACTCCTAACTACAGACATTAAGGATATAAATGTTATCACTGTGGATGCTTGAGTATTATCGTTGATATTTACAAAGTGTATGACTCAAAGTTTGGTAGATTTAGTTGTGCACTTGACTGATTTATTTGGAGTTCTGGTTTACTTGTCTAGAAACGCTAGCTACTGAGTCACTCGTTTTAAGCTAATTCCACCTATTAAAGTCCCAGTAACTTGTTAGTGCAGTGTAGACGGATATTGTTCATTTTACATGCACCTGCACGTTATTCCTGAGCTACTTGCACAAATTTTGTGAAGCTACACGGTTAACTTTCATTACTAAATTACTTGAAGTAAACGAACAACTTATATTTTATTTACAGAATCTATGTAAAACGTTTTTTCATGTTCATGCTTTTCTATTCAAAACTTTTTATCAATGTAGGCTTTATTGCAGTATGCACACTTGAACTCAAAGTTATTGCCCTTAAGCCACTGATTGTATGCATCGCCTGTGGTAATCAAACTTTTCTGGTCATAAAAATAAGATTTTAGATTTACAGGTCAAACTAACGATAAAGTGTAGGAAGATCCAGTAGAGTTAATTAAGCAAAATAACTTGGTCTGTTAAATACTGTGTAATAGTTCTGAAGTCAAGTATGCAGGTCACAGCAGCCAAGCAAGGTCAATCATAGGAGAGCAGCACAAAAATTTAATGGAACAGAATGTGACAGATCCTAATAAGATAAGTAATCTAAAGAAAAACTCAACTATCGTTTTGCATGCACTGACTCATGCTCACACTATAGGGTGACAATTTTAGAATTCAATATCGCTAAATGGAAAGAGAGATTGTTTAGAAAATCTTTGTTCGTTAAATGAATGCTTAACACTTGTATGGTAGATATTTGGAAAATTTTACCATCATTAAAATAAAGAATGAAAAATGTTGGACTATGTAAGTGTAGTTTGAAAGTAGTACCCTTATTTTGTATGAATATGAGCAATAGATTCTACTTGGAATGTCATCCAGCAAGTAAAATTGTATCACTGTGTGCTACACTGAATAAACAATCTAGTATGGAAATTATACTCTATCACTGTGCCCAGGTTTTTACTCTTACATTAGTGGGTTTGATAGTTGTATACAAGCAGATCGAATCCGTTTGTCTGGTTTTTAGATTGCATCGCTGTAGCAACCTACCCTGTTTTGGTGGGATCAACATACTTCCATTATTCAAATTTATTCAGTTGAAAGTATTGATGCTGCACAGTTGACGAAAATCTTATATGAGTGTATGCATCACAGCTAGTTAGTTTGATGTAGTGGATTCGCTTTTAAAAAACTTGTGTGTAAGTCAAACCATTCCATTTATGTAGCATATTGATCTAATTTATTAACTTTTAGTATCTCCTCAGTATGAGTCCCACTCAGCATACTAAGTATGAAGGGATCAATCAGCACCGTTACTTTTTTTTTATCAGGTATAACTCATAATCTAATATACGAAGTCGTGTGCGGTTAGTCATAACCAAGATTGTACTTAATCTTTTGGTGTTGTCAGAACAAAAGTTGTAATAATATTATGAAAGTGAGGGGAATATAATCAGGGGTTACCGAAGCTAAACAGAGTCCCATGCACGTAGGTTTTTTGCCTTTTATTAGTTGCAAACAATGTTTAGATGAAGTTTGTAGAAGATTTATTTTCCCCGTGGATTATGAAGCCGCTTTTATCACACTAAAATAACATGGTTGTTTGGATTCTATAGAGAATTTTATTCTCCTCACTGTGACCGATTCATCTATGAACTTATGAATGCTGGCACCCTTGCAATTAAAGTTGAAACCTTCCTTCTATTATCTTACAAGAATATATTTGGAATAATTTTGTTTCCTACCTTTCACTTTGGACACGAGGAATGTTTTTCACTTCTTTTCAGCGTTTTCCCACTAATGTTCGAAAATTCCAACTTGATCGCGTGATAGCCAGGTTTGATTTCATCGCTAAAGATGTCGGTGAACTATCCCTACATCGTGGTGATGTTGTCGAGGTAATTAATCGTGATGATGAAAATTGGTGGCATGGTCGTACATCAGATGGACGATGCGGTTTATTCCCATCGAATTATGTAGACGATTTGCCTTCAGTTATATAAATGAATCAATAACGAAAAAGAAAAACTGTTGAATTGCCGCCTTGATAAAATTTTCAAAATCCCCCCCTGATCAAGCATACATGTGTTTTGCGTATACACGGAACATCATAGTTTTCCCATACTCTTTTGTCTCAGTTCTACAAAATGTTTATTTCTCCTCGTTAATTTGTATTCATATCCTATACGAGTTATAAATAATGCATAGACCTGTTCCGATGCATATATAAATACTTTCACCATACATTGTTGTCACATCAGCTGTGCAATAGTTCATGTTACACATTTTTTGTCATTTTACGGAAATGTGATCGTAGTTGGTATGAGTTTTGATGATAATTTTCGCTTAGTCAACTTGTTCTTGTCTTTGTTTTGCCATTTTCGCCTCTACACCATTTTTTTTTCTTGAAGTCACTGATTTTCTCATTTGTTACCTGGCACTTTCAATTTAAATAATATTGGTCATATTAACAATGTTACAAAAATTGTCTTTTCACCACTTTGTATCTAGTTTTTTTTCTTTCTGTTAACAATTAAATGATTATCTGTATGCGCACATTTACTTTCATGTACAAATACTTTTGTATAATGCTTACTGAAAATTATATTTCTTATCATCATGGCAGGAGCTAAGTAAGTTAAGGTTTTTGGATTATGTAGAATTAACTTCTTTTTGCTACCTTTTGCTTCTGATACTTCGATCGTCATCTATGCATAAAATACTATATGCACTATTGTTAAGCTGCACAATATGCTTACCTATGAGTATTATATAGGCTCCTCAAATACAGGCCACTTAGTCTATCTTTTCAGTCCACAAATATACACATATAACTATATTTGTTTCAAGCTGCACGGAAACTTGTTTGTCTCTTTATGTACTTTTTGGCTCCTTTCTATTTGTGGTGATTTATTGCCATATTGTCTATTGGTGTTTTTATGTCCTCTTGCTTAGTTTATTCCGGATGTGTGTTTTATCTTTCCGGTCTGGTTCTTTTTCAAAGAAGAAACTTTATCAATGTTAATTGATGCCTTGATTTCGTGTTTCTTGATATCGTTTTTTATCCAATTCTTTTTACTTAATATAAAGGGCAATGTTGAAGGGCAGTGTGAATAATTACACCTAATCAGTCATTTGTTTATTATTCTTATTATTGTTGCACTTCTTATCATTGTGAGTAGTAATAATAGAAGGTGTTCTGTTTTATTCTTTTGTATTCAAGAATTTATGACTCAGCAATATGAATGGTCAGTTATCAATGCTGAGTTGCACGTTTTGAACAGTCGGATAGTATTGTTAGCTGTTTCAAAGTATCTGGGACTGTCTGTGAAAGAATAAACGCACATGTAGATCTTAACTCTTGGGGATTTAAGTTTATTTGGTTGGACACTGAGGTAGTAATCCAGATATTGCTTGGATTAAATCATGCTGTGACTCAGATTTCTTATTAATTCGACATATAATCCCTGAGGTTATATCAGCTACTATGAAAGTTGCGCAACCGCTGATTTGCATTCCGTTTAGTTTTTGCTGTAACACGGAAGCAGGGTATCATATCTTGGTTATGTACATTATCTTGAGAGCACCACGAATGAATTAGGTTGATGGCGGTCAGTCAGGCGTTTTGTACTCTTCTCTAGATTTATTTGATCACAAACACTTGATGGTATTTCTGACGTAATTGGTATCCTCAGAATATACCATTTACTGCAGAATATTCGGAAACAAGAGCGATCCCCGTCAACCCAGAGGACCAAGTGTGACTTTAAAATGCACAATCATGATACAATAAAAATAGTGGGAGCGTGCGTCAATGTACAGTTCATCCGCTTCATTATCGTTCTCATTCTGACCACCTCCTCTTTGTGCTCCTGCGAGGTGTAGGTGCTTGAACTGATACATATCTCTGCAGAGTTCTAAGTCAATTTATCTGGATGGCCCACCGCAAGATCCCGTATTGTAATAAGTAAACCTCATTGCCTTGCCTGTAATGCACTACAGTGAGAAATAACGCTACAAAATTTCGATTGATGCCATCATATGCCACGTTCAGTGTTGGGTGCCGGTTGGTACTCATTGGTTTCAGGATATAGCTTAGGGTAAGCATTTGTGTATCTGATACATGATGAAACTCTGGATAATTTAATGCTCTCGCACTCCTTCGGATCCAGTTGCGTGTTATTATCGCCATTATAAGAACTGATTATTGATTCTTTTTTAGAAATTCTCTCCAACTTTGTATCATACCATTCGTTTTCTGCGTTTTGCTGATCCACTAATGTATTATGGGGATTTTGAACGTTGTTATCATGCCAGACAATTGAAAATATTATTGTATGATGTATTACTTTGAAACAATATAGCAAATGCATTCCTCTAACACCCAATCATTCTCAAAATGTTGAAAAACCACTAGGTTGCACCAGGACTGTAGCTATAAGGTAATCTTACACATATGTCCTTGTAAGGTTGTAGTTTACTGGTCTAAGCTGTAGACCTTCAACAGCCAGATTACTAGCACGAAGCGCCTTTCTGAAAAGTCATGTAGTACAGTAATGAGACCTCAAACTTTAGGTGTGAGACATTGTCTTCTAGTTCATGAACTTGTATAGGACTACTAAGTTCACTACACATCTATGCATGTCATACATTCGCTTACTGCTCATCGTTTTATGTATCCCACTTAGCAAGTAACAAAGTTATCCTTGACTGACACTTAAGGCTACTAAAATCTCATTTTATTTTGCCTTAATTTTCTGTTTCAATTGCACATCCGAAAAGGATGACGATTTGACAGTAGTATGTTCATCTTTCAAGAGTGCAGAATTCGGCTAACATATAGAAATTTCTCTATGATTAGTCTGATATAACTAAATACCAACAACAATAATCTACCAATAGACAGGCAGTACACTACTGTTAAGACAAGTCTACATCGATCATATTCTCAGAAAGGAGAATCAAGTTAATTTTCTACGCAGGTCTAATTTGATGTAACTTTATTAATTGATTGTCAAGTAAATTATTTTTCTTTATTTCGCACCACTGCCCACTCAGTAATCTAGGGGTAGTTTATTCAAAACAATTCTAAAAGGAGATAGAAAACAAATTCCACTTCTTTGTTATGTGGAAATAATTAGGGTTTTGAAACCCTGGGTTCCTGTTGACTTCCTTGTTTTTGATACAATAATGAATGAAGGATTAAACACTCATATGACTCAGTGTTTGTGTCAAAACAGATTGTCTAAAAGTTGTCCGAATTGGACTGATAACTTACTCAGTTTTGTTTGAATAATGAACTATCAGTTAAGCGTCACTTTTTAAAATTACTTTGGCCTGTTAAAATTCCCCAACATTGAAGTGAATTCATAACCTAGTTAGGCTTGGTAGTTCAATTGATCGAAAATCGTACATTATATTGTTAATGATTAGCTGTCCTAACTTGCATCTACAACTTTGACTGAACAGTCAGAGTTTTTATTTCTAAAATCGCTTTAGTTTCACTGTCTAAAAGTTTTGTTCATTGGCGTCGTACCACTGTAGAAACGTTCACTGAATAGCTTCAAGACTGGGATCATAGGGCTGAACAGATATGTGGCTCCAATAAAGGGCTTCGCCCGAACAACCAGCATCCTGACTACGCTGGTATCTTTATGAGAGGAAGGAATTGGAAGAGACCAAGCCTATTATCTGTGCCTCCACCTAGCTCCTAAGCTTTTTCTGGATGGCAGTGAATTTATGCAAGTATGGTTGCATCTCTACGAACTTCGAACCTTTGAGAAAGATGTGTATGGCTGACCTCAGCTAGATGTTCCATGGACTCTTTGATCACGAGGAGTTCATGTTTTATTTCATACATTTCAGGATATCGGCTTCAATATTATTGACAACCGGTGATATTCAGTTGTCTCATCCTTTCTGTGGCACGTGTTATATGTCTAACCACGCAGTAACTTCCTTACCTCTGTTTTTTCTGTCTTTATTACCTCTGCTCGTCGCCTACGTTACGTCAGATACAATTTACTAGCCTGCACCTCTTGTTGAAAAATTTAAGCCAACAAAGCACTGTTTGCAGTTTCCTAGAACCAAGCTGCCAAATTCATACCGGAGCTTTCAGTGTCCAAAGCTCATACCGGATATGACAACAGATTTCAATCTTCAAAACTGCGGAATCCGATGCTTTGTGTGTATGCTGTGTTTCTCAGACTACTCACTTAACTTCACCAGGCCAGTTTGTTTAGTCTGTAAAATTCACCTTGCCAGCAACTGGAGATCGGTTGCCCGGTCCTTTTGTAGTGATTAGTTTCCGAATAGCTTCAAGTTCTGGAGCAGAGAGCTCACGTTTTGACTGGATACCAGTTGACAGCCGTCAATTCTTTCAGGTTTTCAATGGTTCGTCTTCTAATGTCAGTCCATTTTGCAAACCAAGTTAATTTATGAAAGGCTCTAATCCAGTGTTTTCTAAATATCTTTACTAAGATTCGGTCGTACCTTGACGAACAGGTAAAATTACTCTCCTGATACAAGAAGCATCGCTCGGTTTTTACTTTAAATTTATGCTGCATGGTGTTCTTCATAATTCTCAATCAAATGTCACTGGATTAACAAACACCTAATATGTGACAGACGGACAAAAGCAACGTAGAACCTCGCAAACAACTGGATCAGCTCAAGTTGTCATACTTCACAATAGTATACAAAGAACAGGTGAATAAAATAGGAATGATATCAAAGTCGTGTGAAACAGTAAACAATTTGAAGATAAAGGTTAGTGCAAATATTCAAGCTTTAGATATCAAACGGTGATAAATCGCCATTGTGATCGATTTTCAGCCATATCACCAACAGTCCTCGATCATTGATTCCTTTCATCTGGGCGACCTCAGTCAGTGTTCCTCTCACCACATGACTCGAACCAACAGTAAGAGACTTCATCGACTGGTGCCACATCTTGGTCTGGCCACTCTGAATCCTGTTTTAACCGACTCGTACTTCCCCTAGC